TCGTTTATCTTATTTTATGGTCTTTTTTGGCTTATTTCGGTTCCTCCACATTCTCCCATCTCCCCCGAAGCGAGGAAAAACAGAACAGGAAAAGCGAAGGATAAAGAAGAAAAAAGAATTAATACTCCGTAGCGACGTCTAAGAGCATGCAGAGGCAGATGAAAGCCTTTGGAGGTCCTGATGACTGACATCGAGAGCCAGGTCTTGTTACCAAAGGGGGGGGGGCGGTGTCCAGACTCTTTTTTTAACTTTTTTTTCGTATGTATGTATGTATTGTTTTTCTTTTCTTTTCTCTTTTTCGTGTGTTTTTTTTAAATATTTTTTTGCGTTTTTCTTTTCTTCTTTTTTTTGTGAATTATTTTTCTTTATCTTTTTTTCGTGTATATATTTATTGTTTTTCTTTTTTTCTTTTCTTCTTCTTTTCTGTGTTTTTTTTTCCTTTTTTTTTGCGTTTTCTTTTCTTTTTTGTTTTGAATTATTTTTCTTTTTTTTTCTTTTTTTTCGTGTATATATTTATTGTTTTTCTTTTCTTTTCTCTTCTTTTCTGTTTTTTTTTCTTTTTTGCGTTTTTTTTTTTTTTCTTTCTTTTTTTGTGAAATTTTCTTTTTTTCCTTTCTTTTCGTTTATCTTATTAAAAAAAAAAAAAAAAATTTTGTTGCTTTATTTCATTCATTTTTTTTTTTTTTTCTTTTTCGTTATGGAGCATCACCTGACCCGCCAGTGGAGGTCATACTAGAGGCAAGTTGAGTGTCGTTGAGCGAGGGAGATGAAAAGAGGGAGGGAGAGGGAGAGAGGGAGAAAACGAGAAGAGAGGATGGAGGGAAGAGAGATGGAGGGAGGAAGAGAAAGAGAAGAGAGAGAGGGGAGGGAGGAAGGAGAGGAGGGAGGGAGGAGGGATGAAGAGAGGAGAGTTAGACAGAGAGAGAGAGAGAGGAGAGTTAGACAGAGAGAGAGAGAGAGAGAGAGAGAATGAGAATGAGAATGAGAGGAGGGAGGGAGGGAGAAAGATGGAGACAGAGACAGAAACAGACAGACAGAGAGAGACTGCATAAAAGGACTGTTACCAAGCTCAGGTGTCGAATAGAGAATTCTTTTGTTGAATGAATTAAAAGTTTTTAGCGAAGAGTTCAGGGATTAAGTTTAAGGGAATATTAGAGCTCATTTGCGAACAAGGGAAGAAAGAAGAGAAGAGAAGAGCTCATTTGCAACAAGGAGAAAAGAAGAGAAGAGAAGAGCTCATTTGCGAACAAGGGAAGAAAGAAGAGAAGAGAAGAGCTCATTTGCGAACAAGGGAAGAAAGAAGAGAAGAGAAGAGCTCATTTGCGACAAGGAAGAGAAAGAAAAGAAGAGAAGAGCTCATTTGCGAAACAAGAAGAAAGAAGAGAAGAGAAGAGCTCATTTGCGAAGAAGAGCAGAAAGGAAGCAGAAAGAAGAAGAAGTGTTCATTTGCGAGAGAGAGAGAGAGCTTTCGACCGGAGTGAAGGAGCTCGGATTTTCCTGTCTGTCTGTTGAAGCTTTGGCCCCCAAAGGGAGGGAGAGGAGAGGAAGGGAGAGGAGAGGGAGAGGGAGAGAGGAAGGGAGGGAGGGAGGGAGAGAGAGGAGGAGGGAGAGGGAGAGGGAGGGAGGGGAGAAGGGAGAGGAGAGGGGAGAGGAGAGGGAGGAGGGAGAGAGGAGAGGGAGGGAGGAGAGGAGAGGGAGGAGGGAGAGGGAGGGAGGAGGGAGAGGAGAGGGAGGAGGGAGAGGGAGAGGGAGGAGGGGGAAGAGGGAGAGGGAGGGAGGCGGAGAGGGAGAGGAGGGATGGGAGAGGAGAGGAGGAGGGGGAGAGGAAGAGGGAGGAGGGGGAGAGAGAGGAGAGGAGAGGGAGGGAGGAGGGAGAGGAGAGGGAGGAGGGGAGAGGCGAGAGGAGGGAGAGGGAGGAGGAGAGGGAGGGAGGGAAGGGAGAGGGAGAGGGGAGAGGGAGAGGAGGAGGCGAGAGGAGACAGGGAGGGAGAGCGAAAGGGAGGGAGAGGAGAGAGAGGAGGAGGGGAAGGGAGAGAGGAGGGGAAGGAGAGAGAGGAGGGGAGAGGAGAGGAGGGAGGGAGGAGAGGGAGGAGGGGGAGAGGGAGAGAGGGAGGGGAGAGAGGAGGGAGAGGGGAGAGGGAAGGGAGAGGGAGGGGAGAGGAGGGAGCATGGGAGGGGAGGGGAGGAGGAGGAGAGGAGGAGGGGAGGAGAGAGGAGAGGGAGGAGAGGAGAGAGAGAAAGAAAGACGAGAAAGAGAAAAGAGAAAGAGAGAGAGAGAAGAGAAAGAAGAAAGAGAGAAGAGAAAGAGAGAGAGAGAGAGAGGGGGGCGTTGGGCATATCCTCAGCGTTGACAGTCATAGTCATAGACAGTTATAGGTTATGGTCGGTGAGGATGCATTATGTCATTATGATTCTGGCAATTACATGGTAAGTGGAGATGTTATGTCATTCTTGTTGACATTGATGCCGTGATAATCATATGGATTATGCAATTGTTTGG